TTCATCACTCTAGGTGGTGCCCCCGTTTCTTGGCGCACGAAGAAACAACAGGTTGTTGCTCGTTCCTCTGCAGAAGCTGAATACCGTGCCATGGCGAGTACGGTCAGTGAGCTCATTTGGTTACGTTGGCTACTTTCTGAGCTTGGTGCTCCTCAGACCGGACCTACCCCGTTACATTGTGATAATCAGGCCGCATTACATATTGCCGCCAACCCGGTCTTTCACGAGCGTACAAAGCATGTCGAGATGGACTGCTACTTTGTCCGAGAGCGTGTTCAGTCTCAAGATATTGCCCCAGTTAAGGTCTCTTCTCAACTTCAACTTGCAGACCTGTTTACTAAAGGCCTTGGTGCTGATCGTTTTCACTTTCTCCTGTCCAAGCTGGGTGTTCGTGATCTTCACACTCCAGCTTGCGGGGGAGTATTGGCGGACACTCGGCCCACAAGTTGTGCCTCGGCCCATCATAGGTCTGTAGCCCAGCATTGTAATCCGCCAGCTACATGCGGACGTGCCTCAACCCATAATGTAACCCTAGTTGATAAACAAGAAGGGTATATAAGTTTGTGTACGGCCGTTGGCCAAACTACCGAGCAATAATAATATCACACAAACTGGAGAGGTTTCCTCTCCCGTGGACTAGTCCCGTACATACGGGGATACCACGTACATCGATCGTGTCGTTACGTTTCCGCGCTAATCTCGTTTTTCTCAATAACCATTCTTAAAGTACATCTTGCTATAATTTAATATATGGTGCACATAATTGTTGCGGTTCATTTGTTGGAGGTGGAATTACCTGTAGATTTGATCGTATTTTTTACGTTTGGTTTGAAATTCTAACATATTAATTTTTTGTACGTCTTTATAGTGTGTTCCCGACAAGAATTGGTACAAATTCAAAAAGATTGACTAGTTATACATTTCGATATGTATATAAAGATCATAGTTTCAAATAAATCGCTACTTCGAAATCAAAATTTAATCCTAAAAAATATATTGTAATTTTTAGTTCTATCTTCTATCATTCCAAAATCTATTTTGATGCCAATTGTTTCCAAATACCCAAAGTGGGGATAAGGCAGCCAGCAAGTACAAGAAAAAAACTGAATGGGCTACAATAATCTTGATCATCAGGAGTCCCTTTTTCTAATTCTTTTTCATTTCCATCTCAAGCAAAGTTGTATAGTTGATAAATACATGGTTCTTTATTGTCCTTTTTGCCTTACATCATGTGGCATATAATGCAAGTAAAAGTTTCTTTTTTTGGGGGGTATCTTTGGATAGTATAAAGGGCCTATTGAGCTCCAAAGTGCATGCATTATGATGATTGCTTTGCTTGGGGGATATAAATCATTGAATAAAGTGATTGGGATTTTATTTTCCAAAAATGCACATATTTACAATATTAATGGTGCATGTTTCCCGGGCAATCCTTATTATTGGGTGTTGCATTCTCACTTGCAAGCAAACTACAAAGTAGTAGCTAGATACATATACATGTTTGTTGTTCATGTATCATTTGCATATTTGAGTTAGTTAACCGTTTCTTCAACAATGAGTTAAGCAATTAGATATTATGCGTATTGTATAAGACAGCTACATAAATCTTATGGGAAGTAAAGTTTGATGGATATGTCATGCCACAAAGATTAGCTATAACTCAATTGAATGGGATGATATTGATATCTCTATTCAATAAATAACTCATTTAGGTGTTTCGTGGTGGGCGAGGATATCTCGTAAGAGATTTAGATGCTACCGGCTTATTTCCAATGTGCTTCGCTCCTCTTTGCACCTCGTAGATATAACAGGATTGTCCATATTGTGGTAAAGCAAATCCTTAGAGTGTTGGTTCGGACACTTGCCGACCAACGTGTTCTCATTCTTACTAATTGGTAGTCTGACCTACAAGTATCTTGTATTTATGTTGTTTTCTTTCGGGGACATCTATAACAAAAAATACAACGACAAAATAACACATTTACATGTAACGCATGCCGAGCTTTAATACAAAATCCAAGACTATGAATAACTTTGTAATTTAATCTTTAGGCACTAATTTGGGAATATTAGATCTAATGGTCCATAAAGATAAGGAGGAAAGTCATGAGTTTTTGGAACACGTTTGTTTTTGGGATTGACACAAAATCACAAACGAAATTTATTAAACTTTTAAAATCTCTCACAAATTTCAAAAAATCATATGTCATTAGTTTTAGTTGGGATTAATCCCTCTCATTACATTAGCAAATGGTTGAAAGACAGGATTGTGGTCATGGGTTTCTAGAAGAGAAGTGGTGGTTAAGATCATGATTGTAATTAATTATTTTGCTTGATGAATTTCTAGGATACCTGTAATTTCAGCATCCGCTGCGGTTGCTTCAACGGGAAAAGAGACCTAATCCTCAACCGAAAATTTGAGGATACTGAAAAATATATATATATGTAAAAAGGTACTGATTACTTCTTTGCTTTGATTAATTAAATTATTAACCGAGAAGCTCGTGGGTTTGAGAATGCATGCCACTCCATTTGAACCCGCAAGATGCCATTTTGAACATTTTGACCTACCCTAGTAGACTATAATGAGGAACTCCAATTTTATGGTTTTATATATAGTGTGTGGTATGGTGTAAAAAGAAGAATTATTTTTGAAGATATAACAAAGGCCTTTTATTCCAATAGTAGCACTATATGCATTGCATACATCTCATCATAAATAAATTTAGTAAGGGCAAAGCATTACTATATTGTAAGCATTACACTCCATTATTAAGGAAAAATGATAGAATCATACAAAAGTCATTATCTAACATTCGAGACGAAGAAATTAAATTTTTCAGGTGACATGACATATTTCTTATACTACTCCATTTGGTGTGTCGATGATCTACGATCACAATAATTAACAAGCGAAACCAATTGAGAAATTAGATTACCTCGCATATGAGGTCATGAACAATTGACCTATTATGTGTAAAATGGGGAAGAAAGATTGGAGGAAAGTGTATTACTATTTCTCCATGTCAAAGCCTATTGGAATTTGACAATAACGCCCAATATTCCGTTCATGAATGATTTGTATGTTCTCCTCATTTATGACTTCAAATTTGACATTCACCAAATCACATTACTCCCCCAAAAGAAAAATACCAAATTCATCCCCTCTTGTGGTGGTTCAACTTCAAACCCACTCACCCTCTCCTTGCCCCTACCTAAAGGTGAATCCAATTTGTACACCCAACCTCAACTAAATTGTTTGCTAATCATTCTGATGTAGTAAGTTTGACCCAAATGATTTTATTTTATGAATAAAGCTGTAAAAGATATTCTAAAAGCATAACCTTCGATTTGGAACTTCTGCGAAAACCTATTTTGAAAATACAAGATTATCCTTATCATATTTTAATTTTATTTCAGAAAATATAATTGTATTTCATTTCAATCATTATAAAAATAAATTAAATTTTAAAATCATATTATTTAATATAAAAGAAATCTAACAATATCCATATTGACTACTTTTTGTTGTTTAGAATTTTAGTTCATATTTTATATTCTAAATTCTTTATAGTCATTTTACATAACCTCTCATATTAAAAAGCATTTCTAATAGTTTTCAGCCAAAACTCAACTGTTTTTTTTAAAGTACTTCTCTAAAAGCTCCAGCTAGAAGCTATTTCTGCAAAAGATACAACGGGGCCAAACCCTTATAGATTTGTTTTTATTGTTAGATGAATGATTCAGACCTAAGACTTCATGATTGAAGACCTAATAATACCACTAAATCAAACCCTTATTCACTAAATATGTAAAATCTTGAAAATGTACATGAGTCATTTGTTTGAGATGATAAAATGTAGTCACGAGATAATAAAATAAAGAATATCTCCAAAAATTAATAAATTCATCTATTACATGTTCATTTTTTAAGCTTCAACAGAATTGATTATCGGTCATAGCTTTGTACCCACTAGGTTAAAGTTATAGGCTTAGCTTCTTCTGATTAATAATAGTTCTCAAGGTTTCGATAAAAAGGAAAAAGATTATAACTTCGAATTATTTTGTTCAAATGATAGCTAATAATAAAATAATTTTATTTTGCATCACATCAAACTATTTACCATCTAAAAACATATCGACTGATTCATGTTTGAATTTCCACTATGGTTATTTAAGCAAAAGATGAAAGTATCTCAACTAGTTAAGAACCTTATTGGTTAAGCTTTATACGTTCTATGATGCATCATTCCTTTGCAAAAAAAAAACATCTTAGACCAAAAACCTCATAATATGCTTATTGGCTAATAGTATCTAACAAAGAATACAATTCACTATCCACCAAACCCTCCCCAACCCTCCAACCCACCAAATTAATTTTCAAAAGTCCTCTTCTTCTCACACCAATCCAAAAAACCCACAATACATCCAAATTGGATAAATTTTCACTATTCTCCTCCCCTCCAATTCACCACCCATCACAATCCCGGAAAAAAGCCCCTAAAACCTTATCCATCAATCTCCCCAAAAACAGAACTAAATATTTCTTCCCCACCCGTACACTCTCCCCCAACCAAAACAATTTTCCACCCACATGACACTTGTCGCCATACCCACTTCGCCATGTCACCCTTTGCCGTATCAGCTGCTCCAACCCATCCACCTCCCACCAATATTTGGCCACGTTCTTTCACTTCCATCCTTCTAAACCAGTTGTCAAACCCTTTTCTTCCTTCTTCCTCTCAAGTAAAAGGGAAGGAATGAATAGTGATCCAATACAACGAAGAGTACAAACAAAATACCCAACTAACCAATAAAACGAACTTCTTCATTTTCCCTTCTCTTCTTACTTGGGAAGGCGGCCTTATAAATACAGAGCCTAACGGCTCATCACTTTCGTAACAAACTCTCTCCCAAAAAAAATTGAAACTTTCACTCATTCATTCATTCAATTCTTCCTTTCCGTTTCCTTCTTTTTCTCTCTGCAAAACCCACAAGAGATGAGCTGGAGTAGAGGTCACGAACTTGGCCACGGCGCCACCGCCACCGTCTATCTAGCAACCGACCACCGCTCTGGCGAGCGGTTCGCTGTCAAGTCAGCAGGGGTTTCCCAATCGGAGTTCCTACAACGAGAACAGAGGATTCTGTCCTCGCTCAGCTCTCCTTATGTAATTGGATACAGGGGATGGGAAATTACCAAGGAGGAGGGCAGAATTGTGTACAATTTGAAGCTCGAGTACATGCCCGGCGGCACCATCGTCGATGAGATTCGCCGTGGCGGAGGCCGGATTGAAGAATCCACGATCGGGTTCTACACGTGGCAGGTCGTGAAGGCGCTTGAGTATCTGCATTCCAACGGATTGGCGCATTGCGATGTTAAAGGTCGGAACATTTTGGTTGGGCCCGATGGGTCGGATGTCAAGCTGGCGGATTTCGGGTGCGCCAAGCGGGTCGAATCGTCGTCGTCTCCGGGTTCAATTGGCGGGACGCCGATGTTTATGGCGCCGGAAACGGCCCGCGGGGAGGAACAGGGGTTCGCCGGCGACGTTTGGGGATTGGGGTGCGCGGTCATCGAAATGGCGACCGGCGGCGGGTCGCCGTGGCCGGAGAGTCATCACGACGACGACCCGGTTTCGGCAATTTTCCGGGTGGGTTACTCTGGTCGGGTCCCGGATTTCCCCGGTTGGATGTCGGAGCAAGGAAAGGATTTCTTGGACAAGTGTTTGAGGATGGATCCGAGACAGAGGTGGACGGCGAGTCAGCTGCTGAAGCATCCGTTCCTCGGAGAATTCGAATTCGCCGGTGACCTTACCGCCGGAAAGCGAGTCCAGGTTCCGTGTTTTGATTCTCCTACGAGTATTCTGGATAAAGGGTTCTGGAATTCGGTGGGGATAATTGATTCTGAAGAAGCCACTCAATCGCCCTGTTCTTCTTCTTTTTCTTCATCATCATCGTCGGAAGAGGAAGTAGAGGAAGCCAGAGAGAGGATCGGACGGCTGGCGGCGGCGGGACCCAGCTGGGAATTTTGCGACGGTGGCGATGATCTTGATCGTTGGATCACAGTTCGGGGATTTTGCAATTGCAGTGTAGGAGGAGAAGATGGAAGGGATTGTTGTGGCTGTGGTGCAGCAGGGGATTTGTTGACGTCATCAGGAAGCAATAATGAGTATTATGATGTAATTAATAGAATTGATGAGGGTTTTAGTTTGGAAGGGTGTAAATATGGGGAGTTTGGTAGTTTGGTAGTTAGTTGTAATTTGCAGTATGAGAGGAGGGAGAAGAAGAGGCAAGAAGGTCAAGATAATGTACTGTTGTCACTTCCCCCTGTTTCAAGATTAGTTTCACAAGCTTGAAAAAACACACTTTTCACCCTCTTAGTTTGACTTCCTTTCTTCTTTCCTTATCTCTTAATCATTGGTAAAACTCGTAAATAGATAAACATGTGCGATAAATATTATGAGTAAAATTTAACAGTCTCATATAAAATAGTCATATTTTTAAGTAGTGTTAATGCATGTGATCAACCTAATACGACTAGTCGAAAAGATATTTGGTAGGAGGGGAATTGGGCAGGTGGGGTTTGTTAACATACATCCCTTAATCCCTAATATAATTTGGTATATTAGGTTGAATTTGGAGGCAGGATTACATCAAATTTGAAGTTCTGCCACAAACCCAATTGGCCAAACAAGAGAGAGATTTGGGTATATGGACCAAAATGAGGTGCCAGTTTGGCTAAAGGCCCATTCTGCTTTCCACTAGCCCTATGGGAAATGGTAGGTGAAGGGGTTTAGACCAAACACAATAAGGTGGTGCTGCTGGCTAACTTATGCAACCGCCACGCCACCACACAACACCACTCCCCAAGAGTTTGGTTTGGTAGGTAAAGTGGAAAAACTGTTTGGATTTCAATTGAGTTTCTTCTGGTGCCAATTGGCGGATAACCACCGTTACCTCCTCCCAGTTGCAAGTAGGGTGTTGAAACGGATTGGTTACCGTGCTAATTGTTTTAATCGGTAGTATTTGAATAATTTGATTTGGTTAAATTGTTTAGCTTATTTGGTTTAGATGGTTTAACTTGATTTTAGACACTTCTAACCAAACAAGTCAAATCAACCAATTAAGTAATTATCCATATATCTAATATATATTACATACACATACTTAATACTTTGCATAACCACTCAAGAATAAAATGTAAGATAATTGTATTAGTTGCATGTATTTATATTAAGGAATAACTATAAGTATGTGTTGATTATTATGTGTTATTCATTATATAAATTGCAAATTAATGCACTAGTCAAAAAAATTCCGCACTTAATGATAATGTGATGTTATATTGGTTATTTTGGTTAACCAATTAACCAAATCGATTAAACTTTAGTTTGGTTAATTTGGTTGTTGTATTGGTGAAGGGAGGGCCCCAATTGGTAGAAAAAAACCCGCAACCCCTTGGGGTTATCCTGCACTTGGAAGAAGAAGTAGAAAAAGGAATAAATATAGTGATAATTTGATTCTTCGTCGTCGTAGTAAATAGGAGAGAAAATCGAATTTGTTTCTTGGACGGTTTGGTTATGACATTGTATTCCATGATTAATAGAATTTGGACTTATTTGGTTTGGTAATTACCATGGTAACCATTTGAACACCCCTAGTTGCAAGAGTTGCACCCTTCTCGTTCCAACCTTTCCTTTTCGTCGTCGTTTGTCTTCGTCATTCGCTAAAAGGATTATCATTGCGGTTAACCGTTAACCGCCACGATTGATTAGTACGAATCCTTATTCGACTTCGGTTAATTAATTTATTCAGCGTGGTTAACCACAACCACATAGTTCTTAGCTCCTATTTGGATAAACTTAAGGATGTCAATTTCGACCTGACCCGTTTTACCCGACATGTTTGACCTGTGTTGAGGCGGGCATAGGTATTCTCATCGACCCGGCCTGCCTTGACACGCCCTATTCTCGACCCGTTCTTGTCTAAATTACATGTAATTTTAGTAAAAGTACTTAGGATTTTCCGTTTATTACATCATATTTTGGCTATTATAAAGTTATAAATTAGAGAAAATCTCAATTTCTCCAATAGTTTTACTACATTTTATCATAGTATGATTTGTTTCTTGGTCTTATAATGAAAATAACAAATATTTCTAATGCTTTTCATATAAATTACGTACCCATTAGGTCGACCTGACCCAACCCACGTCCCTTAACAAATTACCCGACCTAGATCCGATGTGCTACAAAATGGGTATGAGTATCGAGATACCGACCTCGGACCTACTGATTGTCACTCCTAGATGAACTGAAGACAACATTTGTTATTGAAAAATAAATAAAGAGTGCATTTTTTTTCCTGGAGTAAATAATTAGGGTTGATACATTGGATATACTGAATCCAACGTTATGAACTCAGAAAACTTCCAAATCCACTATCTCCCCTGCATTTGCCTCCTTTGGAGAATTTGGAAATCTAGAAATAAAGTGGTTTTTGAATTCACTCAACCACTAGCTACATCGCTTGCCCGTCAATTTTTCTTCCAAGTCCATGAATTCTCCTCAGTCTCCTCCCAGCCTCTGGTTTTCTCGCCCCGCCCCCAGTCGTCTCGCTCTTCCCGTTGGATTGGCCCTCCAGATAATTTTATCAAGATCAACTTCGATGCTGCAGTTCGTGCGCCGGATTGTTCGTCAGGGCTTGTGGCTCGAGGACCAGATGGGCAAGTCTTTTTAGCCTCGGGTTTCCTTCATCCCGGTGTTTCGCTTCCCTATCTTGCTGAACTTATGGCTGCAAGGGATGCCATATCCCTTGTCGTCTCACGAAGTCTTCCCCGTGTCATCATTGAAGGAGATTCTGAAGTGGTCATCCGTCAACTTGAAAGAAGTTGCTGTGAAGATTCGGTTGGCCCAGGTATCATACCCCATTGCCTTGATCACATCAACTGCATCATTCCGACTAATTCTGGGTTCCATAATGCAGATAATATCAGGCTTGTGTTCTTCTTTAAACATCTTAAAGGATGGCAGGAATTTGGGGTGTTTAGCCCCCCTGCAGTTCCAGGAGAAGATCTTAACCATAAGGAGGGTGGTTAGATGCTTCCCTGAGCAACCCTAAGGTTGGAAATCAACAGAGGTCGACGGCCATAGCCGCCTCATCTTCCCCTACAGCACATTCCATGGGAATGGTAGGAAAAGGTTGTGCATTTTCTGGCAAGGGCTTACCATTTACTTGCTTTGGGGAGAAGATGATCTTTCTTACTTTGCTGGTACTTTCCCCTGAGCTAATAGTGTTTTCTTTCCTTGTCGTTTTGCTTGTAGTTGGTGTCTTCGTATTTGGCTGGTAAGCAACTCTTGCCTCTTTAGTTAAGCCCTTCTCACTTCCTGACTTCTTGGCACCCGATGCAGGTTTCCCATCACCCTTAGATTTGTTTGTTCTATCTTCTTTCTGCATTGAATGTGTCAAGGTAGTCTGAGTTTGAGGCTGCTCCTTCTCAGTTGAGTCCACTATCGAGGCCTTGTTGGATACATGGTTGTGAGATTCCTGTTTAATCATCTCATGTGTATTCTTCTGATGCTCTTTCTTGTGTAGATTGTTCTGCTTTTGGTTCTTCCCCCCTTTGGTGTTTTCTTCTTTTGAAATCTTATTCTCCTTGCTCTTCTTTTTCTTATCTTTCACACTCTCCTGATTCCCATTATCAGCAGACGCTCCAGGTGCCAGAACTTCTGCTTGTTTCTCAGCCTCGGTAGTGACCAATTGGGTGGCCATGGGAGTCTTGTTTTCTCCCTCCGGTGTTTGGTTATCTTCAATTTCAAGCACATTGAAACGGGATCCAGAGCTTGTTCCTTCTTCAGTTGCATTCACTTTTTTGTTATTCCCATCGCTTGTGCGAATCTTCCTATGATTCTTAACCCTTTTTGGTCTTTCAGCTAGCATCCATGGTCCAAAATCTTCCAGGACTTCTGGTCTTACTTGGAGCGAGGTGGTGTTGAGCTGGTTGTTGTTAGATTCCTGTTCTGTGGTTGCCATCTCTTCCCCTGTTTTGTTGTGACAGCTTGCCTCAAGGTGGCCGTAGTGTCCACAACTGAAGCAAACAACATGGAGACCTTCGTATTCCACTCTACACACCCTCCTTTTCAGCCTATATTTCGAAACCAATCTTTTCCTCAGGTCAAGCTCGACGCAGATGCGTGCGTAGTTACCTCGGAAGCCATTGGCCGTGTTATAGTCTATCTTTTGGACCCTTCCCAGCCTATTCCCAATATCCCTGAGGATCTCTTCATCAAAGTATGCTAAAGGGAGGGGAAGAAGTCTTACCCAAGCTGAGATGTGGTTGATTGAGTCAAAATCTGGATCAAAATCGAGTCTCCATGGTTCAGAGACAATATAATGATCATCAATGGTCCAAGGGCCACCACATAGCGCACGATCATAATCCAGTAGAGCTCTCTAGGTTCGCCCCTTTCACAATCTCAATTCGATTTCCTTCGTCACTGGCCGTGACAACAGCAGCGTAATCCATGGAGCCTTCCCCAGTGAATCCATCGCTGGAGAGAGCTTTAGCCTTCTTGCTTAGCTGGATTGGCGAGGTTGCCGGCGAGGAGTCCGGTGGTTTTGGGTCGGGAATGGAGCCCCCTGTGGAGGCTCCATTCAAGACGCGGAAGGCGACAGGCCAACGGCTAGGAAAAAGTGGGAAAAAAAAGGAGAGAGGAGGGAGTTTTTCTCTCTCGAGCCTCTCTCTACAAAGCTCCCTCTTTTATGAACTTCTGGATTGCACTTGCGTAATATTACATAGACATACCTCAAACTTTAATCTCCCTATCCTCTACAATTTTGTCTCTTTCTCCCTGTCAAGTCCACATGACTATTCTTCTCGTTATTCCTCGATTCTTGTTCTCTAATTCTTAATCCTCAATTTCCCAATCTAGTCCTATTTTTCTATCACTCAATTTCTAAATTTCAATGATACAATCTCATTCTCAATTCCATGACCCGATTATGAACGCCCCATATCTGGATTTCCATCAGAACCACTAATGCTAATTATGAAAATGACAATCCCGCAACACCAACACTCACTCGTGGCTTAGGATAGGGTCAGTAACCAATGCTTACTGATCTATGAGTAACTAAATCTGGACCTTAAGATCTAAGTGGGTCCAGAAAATTCAGATCTAAGGGTTGTCAATTAAAGACATTTTATTTTCCCTAGTTTTCATAATCGGCTCTTATCTTCTTCGTTTTAACTCGGATTTCAATTTTTTTTCACACATGGAACGAGTTCGTTGTGCTCAACAAAATGAGATCAATTTTTTTTTGTTTTGAAAATGAGATCAATTTTCAATATATTTTG